ATATATATATATATATATATATATATATATATATATATATATATATATTACATGATAATTGAAAACGGTTACAAACCAAGAAAGTTAGAAAAAAAATAAAAAAATACCTTTAGGAACTATTTACAAGCTTGTTATACTAGTTCATACTTTTTTGTCCCAAAATCCCTAAAAGCTCGACCCAGTACTCTTTCAAAATCGATTTCGTGCACCTTAGGGCTGACAATTTTCGACACGACCCGCGACACGACCCGCAACACGACACGAAATAAATGGGTTTGGGTTGAGTTTTTCAACACGCCAACCCGCTAACCCGCGAACCCGCCAACCCGTTTATTAAACAGGTCATATATGAGTTTCTCAAAAAATAAACGGGTTGACCCGCCAACCCGTTTATATTTTTAATAAAAAAAATTATTTTATTTTTAAATGTATTTATGTATCAAGTATTAATATTTAGTAAGTATTATATAACATATACCATTGATTCATAGACCATTTGATTGTTTTGACATTTTGACTCGTGGTGGATGGCTTAAGGTTGTAAGTCGTAACCTGTAATGCTAAGTTTGTAACATGTTTCTACGAATGTTTTTAATTTTAATTTAGATGTTTAAGACTTAAATGTCTAAAATTCAGATATGTTTGCATCAACCATCAAAAATTTATTCATGTTTAATTGTCAATTTTATTTATGAAATCTGACCCACGAATCAAAATCTGACCCACGAACCCGCCAACCTGTGAACCCGTATAAATAAATGGGTTGGCGGGTCATATATGGGTTTATGTTCCAAACCCGTCAACCCGTGACCTGTATATTTAAATGGGTCGTGTTTGGGTTGACATATTTTGACCCGCCAACCCGCGACACGTCAACCCGAACACGGTACGATTGTCAGGCCTAGTGCACCTCTATTTAGTGGTATAGGCCTAAAGTTCATTGTTGAGAATCTTCACGACTCCAAATTCAAATTTTCAAGTTTCTTTTTGTTTATATTTTTAGTGCAATATATAAAATCATTTTGTAAGTCTAGTCAAAGTTATTCTATTATAATATTTAGATTTTTAAAATCAAAAAACTTCCAAGGAATCCATAAATTCATAAAACACTCAAAGCACACCACTTAAACACAAAACATAAAACCACAGATAACATCCTAACAAATTATCCGGTTATTACACCATACTGAAAAACATCCAACACAAACTAAGACAAACAGTTTTACCTTCCAAAAACATAAACCAACACTCAAACTATACTTTATTCTTCATGAACTCCCTAATCCCAAACTGACATCCGGGTCACTCCCCCACTTTTTATCTGACTCTAGAGGCTCAATAACATAAACTCCGCCATCTGAAAGCCCCAATGCAACTTGATTCGGGTCAAATGGGTGAGCAGCAATCGCATGTGGACACACCCTTGAGGTAGTTGGGATATATGATGAAGGGCTAATCCGACATTTCAGCCTCAAGTACTTTGCATTCAGAACATTAACACTCCCATCATCAATGGTAACATATATCGATTTCCCATCACATGAATACACCGCATCCGTAATTGCTCCACTTCCATGTCGCGGAATCCACTGTAAAAATATGTTATTGATTTCATAAATATAAAAAAGAAGACTTCGGTAAAGCCTTACTGGCTTTTTACCAAAAAAGTTATTACGATTTTTTTTGCTGAGAAGACATTATTTTTAGTTAAGCCATTATTTACCAAACTATAATCGGTTATCGTGGCACATAATGACAAATTAAAAAATTCCAAATTATTAGCGGTTTTATGTAAAAAAATCACATAACAACTTTTCAACTGAAAATCCGAAATTTACCCTACAAGAATTACGCATATATGAAATAGTTTGACACTTTGACTGTTACCTGCATCAAAAAGTCGAGTTTGAATGGATCAGAAATGACGATTTGTGTTTCGTGAATAACCAGGACACGTGTCTGATCAGGGTTAAACTGTACTCGGGTTTCTGAATTGGGATTTGTTGTTCTTCCAGGAGGAGTTTGTAATAATTTGTGTGTATGTCTCTCCCAAGTATCGGTTTCCCAAACGCATATTTGAGCATCAGATCCTGATGAGACTAGAATGTTTTTATCCATAGAGAATGCAAGCCCAGTTACACTATTCTCGTGACCTGTTAGCTTTTCCAAGAGCTGTAATTTATAAAAAATTAAATGATTATTCGACTAATACATAAAATTTTATGTTGAATATATATAAACTATTTTTTTTTTGAATAATACCTTGTCAACACGAACATTGTAGATGTGAATTGAAGCATCCGACATTCCAATGGCGATAATGTTGTTGTCATGTGGATTAAAAACAATACATGTTGCTGATGGTGGTGGGCGCCCGAACCTTGTCATAGTCTGCATTCATTTATTTATGAAATACATGGAAAATATTAAATACATTAAACTTCACAAATTACAAAAATGTAATTATATTTTGAGTTTAAACTATTAATACTTCGTTTTTTTGCAGTCAAACCATAAAGTTTTGGACATTTTCTCAAAGTAAAAATACTTATCAGGTTTCAGTGTTAACTTTACATATAATAGATTATTCTGTAATTTACCCTACGAAAAATACTATTTACCTTAAATGTTGCGAGATTAAACAAGGATACTCTTCCACCTGATGCTGATAAAACATATGAGCTATTCTTTGAAAGAGCAAGACAAGAAATCGTATCATCAAGATTTGCATCTCTAATATCATTTGTCATTAGAATTCCACTAGAAGGTTGCCATAGATGTGGTAGAGCACTAGTGGTTGCCTATGAAAAAAAAACATTTGTAAAGGGTAAATAGGTAAAACCATATGAAGTTTAGAGATATAAAAGTTAAGTACTTACATTTCCTGCTATGTTTTGGTTGGTCCTTTCCCATTTCCATAGTTTGTGTACAGCGTTATAAGCAAGTGCAAGTATGGAAGTCCCACAGTTTGCATACATAAGCTTTAAAATCTGAAAACACAACAACTAAAAAGATTAAATTTAATAATAAAAAAAAAATTCTATTAAAGTCGTGATACTTGGGGGTTGTTACATTTTTTCACATTAAGACATGTAGGGGTTAAATGGTTGAACGGATAATTATGGGTGATAGTATATTGTGTAAGGTTTGTTTCTTTTCTAGACCCAATAAAATCACATAATGAATCTAAATGAATTTTCACCCTTACATTCCAAAATACAAATTTCAAAATATTCATCAAATTTTATGATATTCATAAAGTGTAATGTGAGAGGAGTTGGGAGGAAAAAAGAAAAATGACAAATAGGTAAAGGTTAGTCTTTTAATACATTATGCCATTATGCCAAGTATTTTGGCTTAATTCAATAAGTTATTCTGTTAAGATTAAGTCAAAAAGAAACAACCACTTACTCGAACTGATAACATATTATCAGGAAGCCTTATGGAACGAAGTTGTGAAGGTTCAGTGATTTCTTTTGGCCTCCAAACACCGGAAACTTCCATATCATCAGGGTTTCTAGATCTGACATCTGGCATTTTCCGGCGATCATCATTGGATCTTATAATCCGAACACCTTCTGTATTCCCAAGTATTTTTATACCCTTGTCAGAAGTTGATACAGCCAAAAGTATCCCACCTTTGTTGAACCGAATACACGGTGACGCCTGTAAAATAAATTTAAAAACAATTTACGTACCAAAGACATAACTAAAAAAACGGAAATTAAAAAATGTTAATTACCGGTAATCCACCCTCTGCATTTGTAGAAGTCAAAAGATGTTTATTATCCATGTCCCAGAATTTAATAGAAAATTCATCTCCAGCTGCTAATAATTTCTTGGTTGTGTCAAATTGCACAACACCTGCAAATTGTTTCCCGAGACCATAATATGTTCGTTTCACAATACCTTCACTGTCGTTCCATTCAACAAGGTATGATTCCCTGTCTTTGCTAAAACCACATGTGAAAAGCCTACAATTTTAAAAATTATATATATAATCAATAAAGTGATCCTTAAAGAGTTTAGTACAATAAATTAATAAACATAATAATGAAGATGTTGGGGTGTATATATTATATGTCATATGTATGTACCTCAACCCATCTTTGCTATATGCCATTCTTGTACAAGTGTAACCTGGTGCATCATAATCTAGCATTGCACCCATGTCATCATATAACCATGCCTTGATCTTTCCATCAATAGATGTTGAAAAGATAAACTAGCCAAGATAAATACTTCAAATTAGTTTGTTTATAATATAAAGTTAAAATTATACAAAGGCCATTATATTTTGGATAATTTTTCACCGTTGTTTTATTTATTCCAACTAAATCATGCATGTTTGATCTCTTTTTTCCAACTTAACCATTTTGACCTGTAATGCTTTACATCGATGATTTTGTTTATGTGGCATTTAAAAAATTGACGAGTTAGTTATTTTAAAGGAAATTTTCAAAAAAATAAATAAATAAAGTATTTTGGACAATTTTGCAGTTTAACCACTAAAACTTTTTTTTTTTCATTTCGAATCATTATATTTTTGGCGTACTTTGTGACTTTGAGTCGAGGCCCAAATAGATTTCATCTTCGAAAACATCAAAAAGATGTAAGTGATTACATGTCGGAAAAAAATAATAAAGAATTAGTTATAGTTTTCTTTTACTAATAATAATTGACACGCCATTCTTTTGGTCTAAAAAAGTTACATAAGCGCTCAAATCTGATATAACAAGTCAAAACTGTTAAATTGGAAAAATGTCTCACACTTGTGACTTGTATGATTTCATTGAGATAAACAAAATAGAATAGCAATGGTTCACCCCAAAATATATTGGCTTTTATAAAATTTTCCATTTATATAAAGAGAAAGTTTGGATTTGATACGAATATGAGATACCTGAATGTGTCCCTTACGATGTGGGCAGACAGAATAGACGGGTGCATCATGACCTTCAAAGGTGTGTTCGTTGGCACCTGTTGCAGCATCCCACACCTACAAATTTGAAGAATTATATTCATGTAACTAGTATAATCGTTTTAAACTTGTTATATATTGTGTGATGTGTGAACATTCAAGTAAACAAACCTTAATCTTCTTATCATCTCCACAAGTTATAAAGGATAACTTCTGGTTTCGAATGGTGAACACAATATCATTAACATTGCCAATATGAGCCTCTATCTGAATTAAATTAATTAATAATTAGTACATAAAAGAAAAAAAAATAACTATAAATTAAATACAAGTAATATTATATATAATGCATGCACCTCAAGGTGATCTCGTAACTCATCACCAGCACGATATGAGTACACGTGTACAATGTGCTTGGAGTACGCGACACCTGTTACAAAAATCCAAATACATTACTCATTAACTGAATTTTTAGTATATACTATAAAATTATATCCTTAAAAGGAAAAAAAAAATTTGTTTTTTTTGGTGCATACCCAAAAAAAGGCCATCTGGACTCCATGTAACACGGTTGACTATGACTGGATCATTGGTCAAAGAAGCCTGAACACATATAACAGATGACATTAAAAGGATTTATAAAACTATAGTAAAAGACAAAATGAGGTGTTAATCTATAAGTCAATGGTCATGCCTGAAGAGACATTGAACATCCCATGATGTTCCAAACATTGAAACCTCTAAGCGCAATTCTCAACTTGCTAGCTACCTCCCAAATGGAAATATCACCCGTTTTTGTTCCGACTGAAAAAGAAAAAAAGGAAAAGCCACGTGGAAAATGTAAATTAAAATAAAGAAAATGGAAACTCAAAAAACTTGAGTTATATGATCTATATATGAAGAACAAACCTAGAAGCACAGTGGGGTACTCGGGGTGAAAATCCATGGTGTTCACATCTGAACCTTGATTTATAGTTAAAATTACAGTCTTGGGTAAGTCATCATGATGACGTAAGCCGTACACATGGGTTTGACCAGGACGTGTGCCTGATGATGTGGCAAGATTATTGTTCTGCAAAACTCGATGCGTTAGGAAAATCTATGAGACAATATATATATATATATATATATATATATATATATATATATATATATATATATACAGTGAAATTTCAATAACAGTGTGTCTAACATGTACATTTCCACAAATGGTCTCCAATGATATATCAATGATTATCTTTTATACCTATTAAGAAATATCCTATTATTTTAATTGATATGTGTTTATGAAAATGTTTGGATGTAAAATATTATTTCTTTTAGAAGAGTTTACTTTTGTTAAAATATAAATATAGAACGTTGTTTGATGTTTTTGTTTATATGTGCTTTTTGTTTACTTATAACACTTTGTTTTCTGTTTCTATAAATAGAAAATACCTTTTTGTTTACATAGGAAGCAGTTTTCTAATTTTATACATCAATATAAAACAATACAAGATATTACTTATTTATACATAAAAGGTTGTTTTTATAAAAGGTTTTAAAAAAAATATGTTTTGTATATATATGAACCATTATTTTGTTCGTGTATAAATATAAAATATTTTTCATATAAATATAAGACAAATCTTATAATATAAAAGAGTATCCATATAATAATATATTTATAAAAGAAAATTTTGTAATTAAATAGCTATGATTACAATTTAATTTTTTAACTTAATTATAAATTAAATATATTTTATCTATGAATATGAATATATTTATGAAATAAAAAACCAATATGACAAAATAACTGAACAAAAGATATGTAACAATGTAATTTACTATATAAATAACATATTCATGTAATAATATAATTTAAAATAATAAATAGGTGGGGCATAGTAGTGACTTGGCATTTAAAAGACTTTTTGCAAGAATTGATGGCCATGCCACGTCATCATTTTAAAGACATATTACAAGAAGTTTGATCGCATGGGAATTGTGAAAAAAAAAAAAAAAAAAAAAAAAAAAAAATCTACCTCCTCTGATATCCCAAAAGGCCTTGCTCTCCTCAAGGTATGCTCAGAATCTACAATTTCATATTTAAATATCAATCTATGTATAAAAAGAGACATTATCAAGATTCAAGACACATGATTAATTAATGTTACCTGAAGTGTTAGCAGCAAGAAGAAGAGCCCTTGAAGAAACAGGTTGGTGAGTCAAAGATGATGTGTTGACTGCTGCTTCTAATTTTAATGGCTGAAAGAAGAAAATAATAATTTTTCATTAACAAATAAACAAAAATTAATGGTAGCAATTAATTGAGTTTTAACTTAATTATAAAAGTTAAAACCAAAACCTACCGTTTGAAAACCACTTGTTCTAAGCAAGGAATTCACAGTCTCATTGGTCACGTGAGATGAAGCTTGAGCAACATTTGTTTGTTGTCCACAAACATGATCAACAAAGAGAGTTTTGATATCAGGATTGGATTTAGGGTTCTTGCAAAGCTGATGTTGCCAGTTTAGGCTGCAAAATTGGTTATAACATATAATTAGTAGATAAACAAAGATTAAATATTATTATATTATCATTATTATTATAGTATTTGTTTATTAATTACCTCTGATTGACTAATAAACGCAACCTTGAGTTCTTGAAATCAGGAAATTGACACTTATCTTTCAAATGTGGGTTTGTTTCAATCAGCTTCTTGAGCTCATGAACCAATACAGCCCTTGCTGTTTTCGTATCTGTGTACTTAGAAAGCTGTTGATTCTCCCTGGAAGAAAATATATATATATATATATATATATATATATATATATATATCAAACAGATTGTATGTATGTATGTATGATCCATGATTGGTGTTATAAAGTTGAAAAGTACCTAAAATTCCCCATAGTGAGAAGAAGTGTCATATCCTTGAACAGATCTTCATTGAAGGTTTTGAAAACTTTCAGGTCTTTGTTTAGAATGTCCACAGCCTTAGCACGATCCTTTCTGTGATCATCAACCAACAAAATTAAATATAATTAATAGAAAGTCTTCGAGTCAACTATTAATGATCAAAACAAAAATTAGATCTTACGTACGTGTCTAGAGCTTCTAAGTATTTCTGTTTACGAATCTCAAATAAGATCTTCACTGAAAAACGATTATCATCAACTTGTACGAAAGGAGACAAATACTTCTCCAACTCATCCCAATCTCCTTTAGTAACAAGCTCTTCAACATACTTGATATTACAGAATAATCCAGACTCCGATTCCAACCTTCATTCGTAAAAAGAAAAACTTGAAAGCTAAAAAAATAGTAAATTTAAATTTCAACAAAGGATTTGTAAGTTACCTGTGTCGTGTTTCCTTGAAATTCTCTTCATCTAAGAACTGAAGTATCAGAAAAACAAGCTCTCTCGGCAACCCAGAAATCATGATCTCCGTCTATACCAATCAATTAGGGTTTGATCAACACTATTATAACAAAAACAAAATTGAATTGAATAAATTTATGAACAGCATGTGTACATACTAACAAGAAGAAGAAATTGAAGAGAAATTCATAGTTTTCCGTACACCGATCGAATACTAGCTAAAGGTTTACGCATACATACACGTAGATAGATATAGAGAGAGAAACTAAAACATGGAGAAAAGGATTACCAGAGTCGTGATCGACGCGGAAAGACGGAGATGGTTTTCTTTCTTACTTTCTCACTCTAGAAATTGTAGAGAGAGAGAGAGAGAGA